CAATAGCAGAGATCCAGGTGGAGTCCCAGAGCAAAGGATGCCCCTTTGATGAAAGCTGTCTCTTTAAGGTGCGCTAAGGGGATAACCTTCTTAACAATCCTTTCTCACCTACTTACTGTTTTATTCTTTCTTAAGCAAAGACTGAATCCAAATAATATATATGGCACATTGTAGTAAATTGGACTTTTAGCCCCCCAACCCGCCTGGTCTCACAAAGCCTGAGAGTTAGAAAAATGTTTATATTTTAGTAAAACCTTGGTATATTATTAGAATGACCTGGAAGTGAGGGTCTATCCCCTACAAACAAGAAATGGCAGAAAATGAAACGCATCCAGAACCCAGAATCTTTTCATCCTTTTCATGTTAACACTGTAGTTGCAGTTTTAGATGACAGAAGACCCCACAGTCAGTAAAAAAAAAAGTCATTTTCTCTCCCTCCAGTGCCACCTGAAATCTATGGAGGATTCCCAGTGAGACCTGATCAAAATCACCCCCCCAACTCCACTGACCCTTATCAAAGGTTATGAGAGGAATACTTTTTATCTCTTTCCCCCCCTAAATTTTATTTAAAGGAAAAGCCGTCAAGGTAAAATGATACTTTTGACAAAACAAAAACAAAACTACATAGTATCCAGGCACTTCTAACCTGCTCCTGTACTAAAAATTTCAAGGAGATGAACTTTGAGATTCACGTGTGCCCACTTCATCTGAAAACTTACCTATATGGACTTCAAAGACACTGGATGGGACTCATCTTCAGCTAACTGACCATCCAGTACCCCAAGTAACTGAACATGTTTTTATTCCTCAAATTCTTTTATTATTAGATATATTTTGTTTGTTTTTTCTTCGATATATATTTTTGTTGAAGTTTGTATGCTTCATATACATCTTCATCATATTTAGATCCCCTCCCCTTACTGCACACCGCCCCCAAACACACACCATCTGTAAGCAAAGCAGGTGGGAGAACTCATGGGAAGTGCCCTTCAGAAAAGCATTGCTGCTCTGGTGCAAGGGAGACCTTAGCATGGTCTGTTGTGGTCTTACCCTCCCTCTGGGTACTTAGTCTTGCTTAGATGGATCGACTGGTCTGTGCTTACTGGTGGCCTATAGCCCTGATCCTCAGTTGCCTTGTTTATACCCTAGATAGCTCTGATCCCCTCTGTAAAGTGAGTTCAAGGCCAGCCTGTTCTACATAGTGAGTTCCAGGAGAGCTGGGGCTAGAGGGAGACCCTGTCTCAAAACAAACAAACAAAAAAAAAGTGAAAAGAATGGAGAGATCCAGGGAGGGTCCCTGTTCCCCTTTGAATCTCTCCAGCCTACATCCAGAGAGTCAGCTCTGGCCGAGGAAGGAGGAAGTCTGTGCAACCCAGTATTCCCTGAATTTAATTTTCAGAGTGGGACTACTTTGCACTTGCATCTGTGGTCTGGGTCTCTGGCAGTTTAAATTATAACCTAGATATTTCTGATGCCTCTGTTCCTGAAAGTACATTCATTTTCCTCTAACCTTAACTCAAAACAGGTGAATCAGGGTGAAAAGTGGAGTCTCCCCTTGGCAGGGCTGCTAATCTATCTCCTGCAGAGGGAAATAAGACTGCAGTGTATCTCAAAGCTGAACAACTGATAGCTAATAAGAAAGGACCTGAGTCTTAGCCTAATATAAGTTTTGAGAGTTTCTGACTTGCCAAGGAGGATAAGGAAGGTATGTGATACCGGAGGCGAAATAGAGATTCCTCTGCAGACCTTAGTATCCTCTTGATCTCACATCTGTTTTCTTAATCTGTGTTGTGCCAAATTCTCACCCGAGAGACCTGCGTGTGCTATCTCTGGGGATCCCAGGGCCATGTGGTCCTAACGCAGACTGACAAAACCAACACTATACATTCTGTTTGGGTCTTTGGTTTATGACATCCAGGAAAGGGTTACCTAAAAAGGCCTGATCACCTGTGGGCCCTGTCTTTACACCTCGGCTAAGCTTTGAGATCTGCCGTCTGCCAGTGGCCCACCAGCTGCCCAGGTGCTGGGTTGGCCAAGCAGGCAATTCTTCCAGGCTTCCCAGTGTCCTCAGAACCCCCCAGGCAACCAAAGCTGACCGACTGGGTGGGAGGGGTGACTGTCTCTAGTTCCCTTGGAGGACACGCCTATCCAACAGTCAGTTCGCATTACATTTCTTAATTTAGGTAAGAAGCAAGCACTAGAAGCATTTGTAGTGAAGTTTTCATCTAAAGAGGGCTATCTGGAGACCGCTTTAAATTTACAGGTGAATTTGATTTAAGTCCCTGTACTCTAGAGAATACTGACCACAGAAAACAAACAAAAAACCTAAATCAACTCAGCAGCTGATGGATCTGCCTACTCATTTTCCTTAGCCTCTCTCTGTTGCTGGAACTTGAAAGTAAAAGCAAAGGTACAGAGGGGCGAAAGCATTCTATCTCCGTTAGAGACCAACAGGCCGAAGTATACCTGGCTAAAGAGGCGCATGCAGACCCACCAGAGCAATGCAGCCAGCCTCCTGCCCAAGGCTGGTTCTGCCTCAACTAGCACAGCTGTCCACTGCAAACAGCTTGTGGAGCACCTGGCAGTTTTCCCTTTGGTTTCTTGCTGGGATTTGTGTTTTTCCAACATCCATCCCTGGGGTGCTGCAAATTCACATGAGCTTTCCAGGTATAGCCATCTCAAAGTGTTAGTGGGCTGGTGTTGATGCAATCTGCTTCAGAAAACTGTGTCCCCTTTAGAGACTAGCCTCATGGGAAACTATGAGTGAAAATAAGAAATAGGGGCTGGAGAGATGGCTCAGCGGTTAAGAACACTGGCTGTTCTTGCAGAAGACCCGGGTTCAAATCCCAACACCCACATGACAGCTAACAACTGTCCGTAACTCCAGTTCCAGGGGATCCGATAGCCTCTTCTGACCTGTGCGGGCATTGCACAACACGGGTGCACTTACCTACATGCAGGCAATACCTTGTATACATATAAAATAGAAATAATAAAATTAAAAAAAATAAAGCACTCAACATAGAGGTTTGATATTGCCTCCTTTGTCTGACACAGGAAACACATTGGTCTTCTCACGTGACAGTAAAGTCTGTGTTAGAATTTCCTGTGTCTCCCGTTTGCATGACCCCATGAGGCATCCAGGATGGTGAAAATAAAAAGAAAATAAAATTTTGGAGAAGTCTATTCCATGGTCTCAACCCAAGTAGGAGTCCATCCATAGGCAGAGCTGCCAGAAACACAGCATAATGTCTCCCAGATGGATTTTAAAGAAGAAAGAAGGAATTTATTTAATTTTAGATTAAAGCAGTTCCAGGCCTGTCTCTCAGGGATGCAGGAGGGACATAGGTTAAAGGTGGAGGATATAGACGCTTTGAACGAAACCAAAGGTTTGTGTGCCTCTGTGCTGAGTTAGAGCCCAGCACTGTTCCACACTCCCTTCGGGTGCTCAGATTGGGTTTCACCCTGACCAGTGTAAGCTATTCCCCCTACAAGAGTCAGGCTTTCGTTCCACAGCAGTTTTAGTCTCTCTTCACTATTCTTTGGTCATCAACTTGCTTAAGGAACTTTTGAACATTCCGAGCTACATGTTAGTGACTTTTCATTCTGCTTCATGTTAAGGGAGAGATGCACAGAGAGGAGAAATGAGGCACTGACAATAATTCCTGATGCTGATTAGAGAACTCTATAACTATTGTGATAACAACAAAATTTTCAGTCTCTTAGGGAGGGAAGCCTCCCTGGAGCCAGCTGCCAGTGACACCAGAAAGTCTTCAGTCTTAGCCTCAGAAAGAATTCTTTTTCCCAGTGATGTAGACAGTAGAGTTAGGAGTGTTGTCTAAGGGCACTTTCTTTTTAGAGAGAAGTTGAAAGTTAAATCACCAACCTGGGGATTCAGCTGTGCTAGTTCTGGCTTCCCTTCCCTCTGAGGACCAGCAGAGAGACGCTGAGAACCCAATGGCAGTTCTCTCTCTGGCCTCTCTCTGGTTTGGTGTAGCTTGTACTGACCTCGATAAGTGGGCCTCAAAGAAATCCCTGACAAAGTACCACAAAATGTTATGTTTATGGGTATCGCTTCGGTTAATTTTCTCTAGCATTTAAAGAATTAAAGGGCAGGAAGAATCTCAGACATAGCAGGCAACAAACTTTATTAAAAATAAACACACACACAGACACACAGGGACACACACACAGACACAGAGAGACACACAGACAGACACACACACACACATACACAGTGGCGGGGGCGGGGGAGGGTTTAGGAACTGAAATCTAAAGCCCTTGGAGGGCCTAGATCTTTTCATTGTTCTTGGTGATATACGACATGCCTTCCTCCCCTAATTTTGGATTGGCCAACTTAAACAAGAAAGGAAGGCTGACAGGCTGCAGCTCCAAACCTTGGAATTATCTAGATTGGTCTGGACCAGTGAGCCAGAAGAAGGCCTTGCCCATGGGAGAAAAAAACCTCCCAGTCTTTCCTGGGTGAGGAGGAGCTAGAAGTTTTCCGTCTTCGTTGCTCATCAGTGGCTCTTTATCTGTCTGTCCTATTGTGGCTCATATGTTGTCCCGTATTTCTTCATAATAAAGGATTTCTTCCAACTAGATTATAATAAGGGCTCACAGATATACTTAGGGAAAGAGATGCTTATTAAATATATCCTAAGTGAGCAAGAACTTCAAAAAATGTTCATTCTTATAATGTGCACTTGAATAAGACAAAGTGTGATTAAAAAACTGCATTATAGGATTGGAAGTCTGGAAGCATCTAGACCATTATCACTGGGGGAGGAGGCAGTCACAGGTTTCTGTAAAGTAACAGTTCTCTGATTTGAGTGTTCCAGGAACGTTTTAAATCTCATAATCCTTTAAAATCCCTTGTCTGGAGCTCTGATGCCCATGACCATTTGCTAAAATGACAATTTGTTTCCTTGTCAAATCTTGTTTAAGAACTGTTGTTTCTTGTTCCATCTTGTGAGCTGTTGTATTAATTGTATTTTCAGGATGCTGTCTTGATGCAGTTCTGTGCAAACAAGTTAGACAAGAAGGATTTCTTCGGAAAGTCCGATCCTTTTCTTGTATTTTATCGAAGTAATGAAGATGGAAGGTAATTTTATCTGGTTTTCTTTTTAATTCTGTGATAGTTGTCCTGTTATTTCTTTCAGAGACGATCATTAAATTGATTAACAGAATAACATATTTGGATTTTTTTAAAGGATATGATTTTGTTATTTCAATAACTAATTTTATAAGCATTTGTATATAGTGATTGATGTGTATAAAATAATCTACTTTTTGTGAAATTTTGAAATTCTCTTAATAGTGTAAACTAATGATATTTTTGAGAAGCTGGAGGTAACAAGTCTGTTTTATAAATTAAACCATTTTCTTAGAGAAGGTTAGGGTTATTTGCATTACATTTTATGCTACTGGACTTTTTTGAGTAATCTCTGAGTATAAATAAAGTTTTCATTGTATTGCAGTGGTAGTGAGTCATGTACAGAGTCGTACGTGCAGAGTTCACTGTTTATGGCTACCCGTTTCTTGTTTCATGTGACTTGTACCATCAGCATTTGTGAGAAGGGTTACTCACTAAAAATATAACCAAGAGTATGTTGCCAAGAATTAAATTTTGTCTATGATATTTAATAGGTATGGGATCATAGGCACCTTTATGACTAACGTGTTGAGATACAGGTTCCTCATTTATAAATGAGGTGATCTAGCTCACAGGGTAACAGGCTTAAATGAGTTACTACATGAAGTCATTTGGAGGTGTTTCTCACACCTAAGAACTTCAACATTAATTAGATTTATGATTCTGTTATAGTATATTTCATTTGCTTGTTCTTAAAATGCATAATAAAATATTAAGAGAAAATGTTAATTAGAAATAAAAGCAAAGGAAATGGAATTTTTAAAGATCTGCTATTACTGTACTTTTAATGAAGTTGTAAAAGACATCAGTGATTGTTATTTCTATTTGAGCATTGATGTTATCCATATGAAAATGTTGAAGGAAATAATCAATAATCACATTTGTTAGTCATTTCAATCCCAGTGCTCTGTGTCCTCTTTTATACTGCTTGTTCCTGAAGTCTGTTTTATTCTTTGTTTTCTTTGTGAAAAATAATTTTATAATCATAGGATTTCATCTTATTACCCAATGAAAACTGCTTTCTCATGATTATGATTAGAAAATAATTTATTAATTGAATAAAATCTATTTTAAAATTTGGTAAATCTCAGTTCAGACTTTTTTTTTCCCGTAGTATATTCATAGAAATCTAGTTCACCATATAGGTCCAAACATATGTTAATGAATATGTATTAAGGTGTTAATGTTTGTAGTTTTGTTTTGGTGAAATTGGAGTAAGAATTATTATTTAAATATTGCTCACATTTACATATGTTTTGCTTACTTTTAACATTTGTTTGAATATAAAGTTATTTCAAAAATTTTCTTCCACCAAATGTGGTTGAGGTTCATTTTACAAGAAAAAAGAAAACTTATTCTCTGCTAGAAACAGTAATTAAAACTTTTTAATATGTGATTTTAAATTCTTATTTTCCTGATTTCATGTTTATTTTACAACAGCCTATATCCATAGCTAAGCAATAATTTTCCTTTAGAAGTAGTACTTTTTGGTAAAACCTTCATTTAAAGTTTCTTGTCAGGTTATTTATTAAGAATTTTTCTTATGATTTTATTTGTGTTTATGTAACAGTAATCTTGACTATTGTCCAAAGCCACCTTAGAATCCAGTTGGAATTCCACTAGTGAGATTTTCATGTTGACAATCATATCTACTGTGTTATAAATGAGAATAAGTATTAAAAGAAAAAGAAATTCCTGTTCATGAATGTCTCTCTAAGCAGATGAGTTGCTGTCATATAAGGAGAAATTTCAAATGTGAAGCTATTAAATTTCTAAAACTACTGACTCTAGGATTGTAACAAATTTTTATTTTTACCCTAATCAAAGTAGCCAAATGAATATACTAACTGTTGATTGCCTCTAGTTTTTATAATCAGGTACATAGAGATTAAAGACACATGTGCAAATATCTAAGCATTAGTAGCACTAAAAATGTAGGAAACAGCATATTTAAAATGAAACCTCTAAAGGTTAAAAACTCATTCAATTTTATGTCTTACAGGATTTATACTAAGTTCAATAAATTAACTTTTAAAATAACATTAGGATGTATTGAACTTGTAGAAAATTATTTGGGGTAAGTGTTGCACAGTCTCATCATTTGGCATTCCAGAGTGCTAATCTTACAAGTTTTAAAATCCATGTCTTGAGACTAGAGATGGTTCAGTGGTTATGAACACTTGCTGTTCTTCCAGAGGACCTGGGTTTGATTCCTAGCATCCACATGGCAGCTAACAACCATCTATAACTCGAGTTCCAGGAGATCCAACACCCTCTATTGGCCTATATGGGCTTTGCACTTACAGATGTGCAGTCAATACACTCAAACACATAAAAGAAAAATAATAAAAATAAATTAAAATCTAAATCTCTATATTAAAACCAATGCAGAAACAGAGGGACTGGTAACATTCACTCTCCCCAGGAAGAGGAGGATAACCCAATAACATGTCATCATTGAATCCTGAAAGTAACTGAGGACTCTCTTTTACAGTTTTACAATTTGTCATAAAACGGAAGTTGTCAAAAACACTCTAAATCCTGTGTGGCAAGCATTCAAGATCTCAGTGAGAGCACTGTGCAATGGAGATTATGACAGGTGAGAGAGGTGGGAACTGAGGGTGTGGGATTACCACAGGGGAGACAGGTGGGAGCTGAGCGTATGGGTTACCACAGGGGAGACAGGTGGGAACTGAGGGTGTGGATTACTACTGGTGAGAGACATGGGAACTGATCGTGTACAGTGTTCATAGAAGATGGAACTGGAATCTGATCTACATTATTATCTAAATGAAGGTGACTTCTTTATTTATGTAAACATTTTTTTTTACAAAAGCATGGATGAATTTCTCAAAAATTTTTCATGCAACTTTGCTTTAATTCATGTTGATTTGGGGAATAGAGATAACTTTATGTAGTTTAAACTTTGATAAAACTGACAGATTTTTTTCTAAGAATGAACATGTGAAAAGTGTTAAAAGTATACTGAATATTAGTTTAAGTTTTAGCTTAGTGTTCAAAGTGTTTCCGAGTCCTCAGGCTTTCCTAGATCCCATCCTGCCAGAGTAGGTAGGTGCCTGTCTTAATTACTTTTCTGTTGCTGTGATAAAACACCATGACCAAAGGAACTTATAAAAGGAAGAGTTTATTTAGTTTAAGTTTTCAAAAGGGCAAGAGTCCATCATGGTGGGGAGGCATGGTGGGAGAGGTAGCTGTAATAGGAGCAGAAACTAAACTCTGACATCTTCAAGCAGGCAGAGGAGGCATAGAGTGGCTGGAGATCCAGCAATGTTTAAGACATCTCTAAGCCCACCCCCAGTGATGTGCTTCTTCCTGCATGACCACACTTTCTAAGACCTCCCCAAACAGCGCCATCAACTGAGGACAAAATGTCTGAGTACTTGAATACTTGGAGTCTATGGGGGCATTCTTACTCAAACCACCACAGTGCCCATCACTCACAGGAACATGGCTAGATTACTGCGGGTCTTTAGATCATGGACCACTAACTCATAACAGATCTGTAGATACAGAACAGAAAGTTTTACACATAGCTAAGCCAAATCATTCTGACAATCTTTACACATGCCTAAAGATTTGAAAATTTTCTCCTATGGAAGTTTATTATAGTTATATTGTTAAAAAAATCTATGGAATCAAAACAAAAGTAATGAATAAAGCATAAAATTTCAATCTGTTATTTTACTTGTCCTAAGATGTTAGCAAAAATGAAAGGATTTTATGCTCTTGGGGATTATTGAATCAGATCCTGCTAGTAGCTCAGGCTGGCTTTGAACTGGTGAATGTCTTGATTTTGCCTCTCAAGTGCTGAGGTTACAAGTGTGCACCACCACACTATGCCCAGAGATGGTTCATTCCACTAACCAGTATCATAGTAAAAACTATACACAGTGCATCCTTGGGTTTGCTTTGAAATGTATGGTGTCATTTGACTGGTTAGTAACTTTATTTAGCTGAATCATTCTTTTCCAAAGAAAGTGGTTCTTACATATTTTCTGATTAGCAGCATCAACACCACCTGGTTACCTTGCAGAAATTCAAACTCCCAGGCCCCACCCAGACCTGCTGAGCCAGAAACTCTGGGAAATCAGTTTATTAAGTCACATCTAGATAAGCTCTGCATATGACTCTAATCCATATGAATTTGAGAAATATGCTCCAAGACAGTGGTCTCCATGAGGGAGAGGTGGATGTGTATCTCCCTGGGGAGGGTTATTGCCCACTGATGTTCTTGACATGCTGAGGAATTAATAGAGTCTTGAAACTGACTTTAAGATGTGAATTGAATTATAGTAATAAAATTAGCTAAATCAACTTCAAATTACTTTGTGAAATAATAAGCTTATAGTCTCTAAGAAAATCTGACTGAAATTTATCTTTTAAATTCTGATCATAGTATTTTGGTTGTAGTAAATCCCTTTAATGTGGATCTTTTTTTCCTGGACAGAACGATCAAAGTAGCGGTGTACGACTGGGATAGGGATGGAAGGTGAGCTGTCTTTCCTTTGTGCTCTTCAGAATGTGCTTCCAGAAGAAAGTTCACTGAAATGACTGCAATTTCTTTTAGGCTTCATGTTACTGGTTTTATGTAGCATTGCTGTTAGGTTTACATGTGATTTTATTAATAATGTGTTTTCTTCAACATTGAAATTAAAATAAAGGTTTCCTCACTTGCAGTAAATTAGTAAGGACTTTCGGCTTGCACCTGACGTTTTCTCAATGTACTCAGCTTCTAGTGTTGACTTTTATTGCTGTAGTGACTTAAGCTTCTTCACCTACCAAGATCTGTGAAGATTCCAGTAAATTATATATCCCATTCCATTCAAGGAAATGTATCTAAACATCAGGCCACCACACACACACATACACACACACACACACACACACACACACACGCCCATTCTCACACATACTCTCGCACACTCATACACATACTCAAGCACATATGTGCACACACAGATACATACACTCTCATACAACGTACACACACATACACGCACACATACATGCATACCTGTACACACACACATAAACACACATTCACACACAATAAGTAAAGAAGTGTAAAAATGATTTAAATTTAAGACTACCATTTTTTTCACAGTGGTGGCAACAGGATCCAGGAACTTTCCACACATCAGATGAGCACTTAATCATTTAGCTACCTCCCCAGCTTTTAAGAGACCAGGCTTATAATCAAAGACAATATTTCGATCCTTAAGACTGTAAAACTAAAAAGGATGTGGTTAAGAGTAGAAAACATCTTTAAGGGGAAATTTAAATAATCCTTAGAAATGACTTGCGTGACTATATTAGGAAAATGGACTATAATACTATAATCTTTTTATTTTTAAAAAATATTATTTTTATTTTATGTGTGTGAGTGTATTGACTGCATGTATTAAGTGCACCTGTGTTGTGCATTGCCTGTGGAAGTCAGAAAAAGGCATCCAATTCCCTGGAACTGGAATTATGGACAGCGGTCAGCTGCCATGTGGGTGCTGGGAATCGAACCCATGTCCTCTGCAAGAGCAGTCTGTGCTCTCAACCCCTGAGCCATTTCTCCAGCCCCATCTTATAATCTTTTTAGTGCTACAGTAAAGTGTTTGTTCCCTAATTAAAAAAAATATAAATCAGGAGGCTGGAGAGATGACTCAGCAGTTAAAAGCACTCTGTACTCTTGCAGAGGACCCAGGTTTAGTTCCCAGCACCCACATGGTGGCTAATAACTGTCTGTAACTCCAGTTCCAGGGAATCCAACACCCTCTTCTGGCTTCCAAGGCCATTGCATGACATGGGTGCACACTTGCAGGCAAAACAGTCATTCACATAAAACTAAAAAATACAAGATTAAAAATAGAGACCAGTATTTTAATATAAAGGATCAGTATTTCAATATAAAATATTAATACATGAGATATATACCCTGAATAGTTGTTTAAATGTTAGCAATATACTTAATTTATGGTTGAGTTATTAAACATTAAATAAAATGGATAAATAATTCTTGGTAATCCTCTCAATTAAATAAGAAAATTTGAAAAGCATGTGAGTTTTCAATAGAAAATAATACAGATAATGATATATGGACATAAATTTGATAACCTAATGATAATGACTATGTAGGTTTTCCTGCCTGTGTTACGGGTGGTATAATAACATGGGTCCTGCTTTTTCATGTGCATTTTTGTTTATTTGACATGCTTTCTCAATGCCCAAGAGAACGTTTCCTGTTTGTTGTTTGCTTCCTGACATCTCTACTGTACGTCTGAAATTCTGAGCCTTTGCCATTTTCAACTTTGAATGTAGAGCCAGAACTTGATGCTGCTTCTTAAAAAAAGATTATTAGTGGATGAGTTTTCATTTATAAAAATCTAAACTAGCATTGTACACTGAAAATATAATGCAAGTTCCATGCATAATTTAAAATATTGTACGGACACCATTAGGAAAAGGAATGTAATAATTATTCAATCTTAGATACATAAAATGTTACCTTTTAATATAGAGTTAATATACCAATTTTAAAGGTGGAGTGTACGCTTTTTAAATCTATGGTGTACATTATGGCATGACTCAGTTCAGATTCACTGAGTTTCAAGGGCCCTACAGCAATACTAGGCTGGTGGCTAGTGCTTGGCACAGCATTTTGGCTGTGAGGAAGTCTGTATAATGTGAGTTCTAAGAAACATTATACCACCTGGCTGTGCTGGCTATGCCTGAGTAGTATCACAGCTACTCAGGAGGCCAAGGCAGGAAGATACCAAATTCGAGGCCTCAGGAAGTTAATGAGACCCTGTCTCAAAATAAAAATAAAGGGTAGAAATAGAGCATTTGCTTAGTGCTAAGGGACTGAGACCCATCTCCAGTACAAACACACACCAAAAACACTCTGGAACTCTTTCATTATGTAATGGGAGATTACAGGGCAAGTGTCTATATAATTTTGTATATAAATTTAACCATAGAAGTCTAGTAAGATACTCTGTCCTGTCCATCTAGAGGGAATATTTCAATTAAAAGTTAAAGTGGAGACTACCATCCTCAGGCCTCCTCTTGGGGTAAGTCTATAGCGCAGCTCTCCCCGCGGGGACTCCCTAAGCCACAGTCACCCTTCCATCCCCCCCCCCCCCCCCTTCTCTACTCCCCTTTTGGGTCCTGTGCCCT